CGTCATAGTCATCGTGGCACAGCAGTTGAAGATGAGCAACACACTTCAGCTACTATGCCGCAGGAAGAAAGGAACATTTTGACAAATAGAACAAAATATTTTTAGTTTGTTGCACGCCGATTTTTCTCTTTTTGTCATTTTAAATGCCTGAAGTATTAAACATGTGAATAAATACAATACTGTACACAATTCTTCCACTGATTCCGGTTGCGGGCAATGTCTTCAAGCGTGTTAAGCTATTGGCACTTCTCATATTTAAGTCCCCATCCTGGTAGACGTACGAGTCTAGTAGCGGCTAGACACGTCAGAGATTTCATGTGCTGTCGCCAAGTGGAAGGCTGACAATACCAGTCTCCTTCAGTCAGGTCGTTGACGAGCGAATAGAGCGCGACGCGTTAGACGCTCAGGTGCCATGCGTAGGACATGACCGAGTCATCTCAACTGGCGTAGTAAAAGCAGTTGCAGGGAATACTCGCATTCCCCAAGATACGATGTAGAACATTATCACTTGGAACTCCATGTTGCCACCAAACACGAACAATCCTCCTTAAGCAACCGTTGTCGAAGGTAGAAAGAGGACGCACGTCTTCTACGTAAATTGGCCAGGACTCGCTCCCATAAAACAACACTGAACGAACAAATGCGCTGTAAACCGGGACCTTCAGCAAGAATGAGACGTCGCGACGACGCCACAAATGCCTCAGATTGGTAAACGCTGATCAGGCTGTAGCGATGCGAAGAGAAACTCCATCGCTGATAGTGCCGTCAGCAGAAACACAGCTCCCAAGGTGGACGAAACTATCTACCTGTTCAAGTTGTGCACCTTTAAGAGTGAGCACGGGTGCAGGTGTAGGCCAATCCTGGAGCAGCACTGTACACTTCGATGGGGACGAAGCTCATGACATACTTAGATGCTTCAACCGCCAAACGATCCAGAATGAGTTGCATACCTGGAGGATCGTCACCAAGTAAGGCGATCTAATCTAAGTCGGTCGCGCGCTCAACCGGTAGAAGCTCTAGGCCAAAATGTTGGAAACCTTCTAGAGCATTCGACAGAACATCTTTGATTGCAAAGTTGAAGAGGAGTGCGGACATAGGACAACTCTGTCGCACATCGCTATTGACAGCGAGTGGCGAGGAAAGCTTGCCGTAGACCCTCACTCTGCCAGAGATATGAAGGTAAAGTGCACGTAAGATGACGGTAGACTTCTCTCGCATCCCGTTCTTTACCAAGTAACATCATAAAGCAGGTCGATCAACGGAGTCAAATGCAGCACGATTGTTGGCCTGTGATAAATGTGGCGATGTTCTTGGAGTTGGCGGAGCGTGAAGGTTTAATTCATACATCTTCGGTCGGGAAAGAGAACAATTTGTCTTTCACGGTAGGATGGTTCACGTACCGGGGATAGTCTACGAAATAGAAGGGAAGCCGATAGCTTGAAGGCAACCGAAATAAGACTAATCCCTCAATGATTAACACATGAAGCGCGAACACCTTTCTCGAAAATCGGGACAATAACTGATTCGCCCCAAGAGGAAGACACCTTTTCTTCATGCCAGAATTTTGCGAACAGCGAGGTCAGCAGGTTAATTATTGCCACGCCACCGTATCGGAACAGCTCCAGAGGAAGTCCGTTTGAGCCGGCTGCCTTGAACCACTTCAAGCGTCGAATATCGAGGCAGACTTCCGCTCTGCTGTGTGGGTTCAGTGGGACAAGCCAGGGTGGACAACAAGGTGTACTGCATTTATTGATGGACGGTGGAGGCCAGTTGAACTGCGAGTGAAAGTGCTCGGCCCAATGGTACGTACGTCTCTGTTGGTTGGTGATCGAAGACTCATCCAGCTCGCAAATAACCTCACTGACACCAGGATTCCTGAGGCCAGTGGACAGAATGCGTTGAAAAGCCTGCAAGTGTTGCCAGAGAGACAGCGGTCTCCATCTTTAAAGCACGCTCAGACCACCGTGCTTCGCGAAGGCTTTGCCCGAGCAGCTAGTTGACAGAACGGCACCGCTCGTTGTAATCTGACTCCCCCGGTATATCTTTGCGGCGATCCAACAGTTCTAGAGAACGAGCAAAGATCCAAGTCTTTTTGGGGCGTCGAGCTAGATAGCAGCATCACTGTCCGGAAATGGTCATCGCTTTCTGCATATAAGTCCAGTATTGCTCTGTCTTGCGGTGGATTGCAACTGAATACATATGCCAATGAAGACTGACAGGTCGACTGGACAAAGGAATCAGTTAGTCTGTTTACATCAATCTTGTGGTGCTTCGTGTTTCGAAACCCCAAAACACAGATTTTCGCGTAGACCAGTGCATGATATGAGTCAACGAAGGTGAACCAAAAGGACTTGCTGTCCAGTACGCTGTCACGCCATGTGAAGCTAATTGCAATTTGATCAATTTGTGACCACGGTCGAGTTGGCGGAGGGGAACGCCACGTTGCGGAATGCTTATTCATATGCCTGAAGTTAGTGCTCGAGAGACAGAGGGTTGTCTTCGCACAATGTGAGTTTCCCTCTGTTAGCAGGGCGGTTCTCATCGAGCGCGTGGTGACAACCAAGGTGGCGTTCATATGGTAACAGGAGGCCAACCCGCGCATTAAAATCCCCAGCAAGGACGACATTCGACATTTTAGCACTGGTCGAGCTGATATAGTTCCCGATAGAAGTCGTCCTAGACACAGCCACTACGGTAGCCAGTTGGAGAGTACAAGGAGATCACAAGCAGGTTGCGTCCATTCGAAGCAGAACTGTACACAGTTGGCTGTTAATCGGGAACCAGTGCAGTAGTGCCGCATCGGCCTTGCCAGGTAGTGCTATAACTATACTAGCCAAATCTGATGAGGCTGCTTTTGGATCTCCAGAAAAACCCAAGTGATATCTGGCCTCGCGTTCAGTGAGGGATGTCAATGTAAGCAGTGCTGGGGTCTTGCAATCAGGTTTGTGAAAGGCATCAGACACTGATATCGAGGGACCGTAAATCGCGTGGTAGACCGGCTTTCTGTCCAACTTGCATGAGTGTCCGAACATTGAAGTACACCAGACGGAACGAGGACTGCGGTCGAAAAAGAGCCATAGGTTGAACTCCATGGTTTGCGGCGCAAACGGAATCGCAACCAGGTTTGTGGACACATGAATCGGGTAACGAAAAGTAAGGATTGTCAACAAACAAACAATTGGGGTGTGATGAAGTCGCGTGAATGTAGGAAGCAGAAACGGTAGCCGATGAACACGTAGTATAACAGTCCATGGTATTGTGATTTGGCGTAATACTACCCGGTTGCCAAGCCAAAGTAGCGCTCCAAATAGAAATAGATGGAATTGAAACTAGAAGACGAACGTCTATTAAAGAAAGATGGAGGTTGAAAACGGGTTAAAAGTTATGTTAGAACAGGACAATAAATATAATAAGTGCAAGAGGGGGAGCGAGCAAACGGGAAGAGTTGAGCAGTAGCACCCTTATCCTATCCACCCTGCTCAATGCAACAGATATGGAGCCGTTGATCTTAAGAAAACAAAATAAACGTCTGAGACGTCCGGCTTCTGGCTGACCGTAAGCCCCCTCCAGATCGATGACTCCGCTTAGCTAGCGCCTGATAACCCATATCGTCGCTTCGCGGTTGGTGCTGGCGTGGATTGTATTCTGGATGTCGACGGGCATATTGGCCAACATCTGGAGCACTAACACTTGCAACAGCTACAAGCCGGAAAAGTCATCGGTAGTACGCCGGCACACTGTAACGACGCTTTGCCACCATGTGACCACCACCAGTCGCGCGTGGGCTGAGTATACCTCGAGGGCACCCGCACCTAAGAGGTTTCGAAGCCGTTATCGAAGGACTGCATGCCAGGCATGCAATCCTTTCAGCCACCGGTCTGTAATGGTCCTAAAAGCCCTATTTCACGAAATCTCATGTCCCCAGAAAGCAGCTTAGTACGCAGACTTTGGTAAGCACATCTAATTAGTGACAGGCAGCATCTTGTCCAAATCGGAGGAATCACAGAAAAGTATTTCCGTCATAATTCGAGGAAACTAACAATAATAAAAGTAGGTGCGCGCTGTAAAAACGAACCGCAGCCGGAGACTTGAAATGAGTACATAATGGTGGTCTCGAGAGTGTATTAGAACACGTAAATCACAAAGATCCTCTTAGACACAAGCGATCCATAATGGCGAAATGGAAAATGGCAGCGCCTGTGTGCACATTTATCTTGTCAGGCGAATCACCGATTGATTCGGTCGTGAAAGTAGAGACATTTCGTGGTCTACAACGATGCCCACAGGAAAAAACGATTCAATAGCCAACGGGAGCAATGAATCTGCTAGCTACGTCGATGAAGTCGTGAGACTTGGCCACAAATCCACCTTCTGGTTTTCATACACAATCACAAGTTGGGTACAATAACACTCATACATTGATTGAGCCTGACTACATAGTGGATGAAACATGCGCGCTTCTGAAGATTACATTTGGAAGTTAGGATATAAAAAGCAGAATATGTGCAGTTGCACGAAGAGCCCATGGCATAACATCTCAGTGGGTGCTAGCCCATCAGGAAGTTTGCGGCCGGTGGCCGTACAGATAATGCGTCCGCTTTGTAATCGAAGTCACTGTTTCGATTCCCCAACCTATATTGGACTGATGAGCAGCGAAGAGCCGGCTAGTTGCTCATGCCTACCACATTCACAGGCTACACACCTACGATTGTGCGCTTCTAGGATTTGGTAAGACGGGTTCAAAAGCTTGCTTTGCCAAGATAGGTTTGAGGGACAAAAATAAGACAGTTTGAAACGGGCTATCAGGGTTCTTGAGGGTAATCAAACGAACAGCCTACACAGTGACAGTGGAATATCAATGGTAAGAAGCGTGATACCGTAGGACGCATCCCAGGAAGGATATTGAAGGACAAGTGTACCGGTATCACAATTCAAGAAATCTAATCTAAATGCAGTCGCGTCTTGCTCATACTTAATCAGTACCTAAGCAACATTAATTTCCGACTGGTGACAAAAAGTGCAAAAGTGAGTTAGGAAACAAGAATACAATGAAATATATATGCAACGACGCGAATCATCCGCCGCACAAGAATTGAGATCTGTCATTTTAGGTGATGTACTGTCGCACAACGTCATAACTTACACCAACATAGGAAGTAACTGCAATGGTCTTCGCAGTCCAACTCACAATTAATGGTCCCTGACACATGGAGCATCAAACACAGTGAATGGGGAAAGCAGCACAAAAATTAATAGCAAACGGTGCTCGTGCATGCACTCAGACTCAATCATATGTCTGAGGTACGACCAGACAGGTACGAAGTAACACAGGCAGGCATAAGCAAAGATGGCAATTTCAGTAAAAAAGCATTCGTTACAGTAAATGCGAGGACCGCAGTACTACGTAGGTGGACTTGATCGATAGAACAGGTCAGGTTTCAGACAGCAAATCGATGTAAGTGTTGGACACCTCGATAAACTGCGATTTGAGTACAAAGGATATAAAACGAAAAACTCATCGAATGTAGCTATCTGTGTGAAAAACATCAGTCGCGAAATATTATGTACATCTGATCCGGTGCGGACGTGACAATCGCGAGTGTCCGTTGCTCAATGGCGCACACCGAGTCGTGACAGTTAAAGATTAGGATTACGGAAGACTTCCGCTTGCTTTTTGATACGGGCGTCATACTCCTTCCTATTTTGAATAAACAGTGTATATGCATCCGCCTGTGCAGGGTCCTTAGGGTTAGGCGTATCCAGCAAGTCCTGTATACCTAAAAGAATCTTAAGAAGGTTAAAGCAAATCTAGTATAGTACCTGCTTGATCGTGACAGCCGGCTTCCAGTGCTTTTCTTCATCAAGCAACGAGAGGCAGACAGTTCCAGAAGGGAAAACATTGGGATGGAAGAGTGGCGGTTCAAATTTGCACTTCGGAGGCGTCGTGGGGTACTCTGGCTTGAAATACATCCGCAAGTGAAATAGGCCTCCTTCCCAAAGGGTCTAAACAAAAATAAGCATAGGAAAAAAGCGACGAACTCCTTTCTTTCCGGGGATACTACAGCTCCATGTCATCAAATCCAGTGAACCATCCGGATTCTTCTCCGGCTTCGCGACAAAACCCTGTAGCTATGAATGCTAACAAGAGATACGTACAAAAGGATGATCTTTCCTCCAGGCTTTGCGTTCTTCAGCGAGTCTTTTCAGCGAAATCCCTTCGGCCTCCGCAAACTCACTCATTTGACTGATTTGAAGTACCGCCAAAACCGACACCAAACTGCAGTAGCGTTCTACCAGTCCGCAGCGCGAAAATTCAAATTCAAACACGAAGGGAAAAGAATACTTCTTACGTAAGGGATAGATGTTTACTTTCCTACAATAGGTACTTATACTTTTTACCATAACGGCATTTGCACCTATACAATTGTTCGTTATGCATGTACATAATGGAAAACAATTTGGCATGTGAATGCTAATAATTGCCCTTTGCGTTTACCGTGCCGTGGTAAAAGCAGAGGTTATTGGTGAATGGATGGCTGTCAAAGTGCTAGACGTGGGTGTAAACGGCTGCGAAACTTAGTAAATAGATACAATGCGCCCCTGCATTGAACCGTTAGACATTACGGCCGCAGGTTGTTAACTCGTCCTGATGTTTTTATTCATCCCAGTAGTTCATAAGCTACCTAGCATGTCCTAGCACGGAAAACACCAGACGCGTTTCGCACTATTAGGGCTTGTCAAATGTGCGCCTTCCCTCGTCACCTATTGGGATCGAATCTATGATCGCTAGAGGCAGATGGCCAGTAGCCAGCAGCTAAAACTACTGAACGTCGTTTAATAAAACAAAATACGTTGACCTAGGTAACTAGAAATAACTGCAATAATCTGTTGCCAACAGCATACCTTTAATTTAAAGGTAAACCTAATTAATCGATAGCTATTTGATATACATACTGGTGGGACATACCCCAAAAAGTGGGGGAGCAATACTACCAAACACCGAATTTAACGAGGTACTTTTTGCCTTTGGCTGCAATAATATTTTAGTGTACAAGCTCTAGTTTGCCTCTTCAGTGTCTGTTTAATAGGCTTAACAAGGTTGGTGAATGCGTGCGTGCGTGTTTTGACTATTATCAAAGTTCCTCTGATCCAATATATATTGGATCAGATTCAGGTTCAGATGGACTGGAACGATAGGAAAATCCATTGAGTGTTCCTTCTTAAGCAAATCATTGAGCCAAGTAACGATAAGGTGCTATTTCTTGATAGATCTAAAACGAAACACCCGAAACACACCCTGATCAACCAATTACTGTCCACGTTCCCTGCACTCGCAGTCCGCGCTGTGTAGGTTACGTGTAGTAAGAAGGAAGTAGAATGTAAATGGAAGATAAAGGGCATGAAAGTCATTAACTTGAAGGATAATACCAGAGAGTGAAGAGAATGACAGATTAAGAATTAAAACTTAGAAGCTTGATTTGGTTAGGAGAAGGGAAAGCTTTCATGTTGCCACCCAAGAACGTCTAACTGACGCTCAAAACCCTTAACCGTAAGTTCACTAGCTACACATTTTAGAAGCGCATTCCAGCGCTGGATAACTCTACGCGATAACCGAGTTGCCGCCCTGATCCGGTCAGAACGCGGCTTGTGTATTTTCGTGGGATGACCGCGAGGACATGGCAACCAAGCAGGGCTAAATAGCCAGCTCAGGTCCTATCCAACCTTCCCTGTAACAATGCAGTAATTATGCATTAGGTCACCTCGAAGATGTCGGTAGTGCACTAAATAAATACCCAGGCTAAGTAGACGCTCGGGGCACGGTGGCCCCCTTAACCACTCGACCAATTGCGTAACCAATTTCAAAACCCTCTCGGGCTCCACTTTGTCCCGAACAAGGCAGGGCAGGCAATCCTGAAGGCAGTATTCCAGATGGGGCCGAACGAAAGCTGAGAAAAGCTTCATAAACATGTGGGCAGTTAAGACCTCGAAAGAACGGCGTATTAACCACAACATTATGAAACCCCTACTAGCTGCCTTCTTCCATTGTCACCAGAATGCAAAGACGAGGAATGGAGGACGCCTAGGTCTACCTGGTTGGAGACAAGGGGTCCGACCTCACCGAGTACGTAGCTCGCAGGCGGGAAAGTTGCTCTTATACGAAGGACGGAACACTTAGCCTGATTTGTGGACAGTAGCTACAACGCAGACCAGTCCCAGAGTCTGTCCAGTGCATGCTGTATGGCCTCAGAACCCCCAGGAACATTTACAACATTCCATAGCTTAAGGTCATCAGCAAACAGTACGGATGATACCCCAAGCACTCCAGGGAGATCGTTTACGTTGATGGAGAACAGCATCGGTCCACGGACCGAGTCCTGTGGGACACCGCTAGGGGCTACTTTCCTAAAAACTAAGTTGCGAGCCACACGTACACACTGATCTCTTCCCTGCAAGAACGCAGATACTCCATGCAGGGCGCGGCCAGGAGCGCCGTAGGACCTCAGCTTATGTGATAACCTCAAGTGGGGTACCTTATCAAATGCTTTCGAGAAGTCTAGGAAAAGCTCATCCACTATGTGGCCATCGTTCGTTGCCTCGGCCTAAGCTTCACGAGCAACCAACAACTTCGTCAGACACGAAAACCCCTTCCGGAATCCATCTTGTGCACTGCGGAGTAGATGTAATCCATTCAGGTGACTTTCCAACGAATCTCATCAACTTTTCAAGCAGTTTGATTACGATGCTAGTCAGACTAACTGGCCTATAATTGGCTGACAGACACCTGTCGCCATTATTGAAGATAGGACAGATAACAGCCTCCTTCCGTTCAGAAGATAATATACAGCTGACAAGTGACTTCGGAGACACCATCGTCAACGGTCGACTTAGTTCCAACGCCAACTCATGCAGAAGCTTCTGGTAAATTGCATCAGCTCCAGCTACTTTTGAAGGGTTCAGCTCTTGCAGCAGTTTAAGGGCTTGCGTTCCCATCACAGTAAACTGAGTTAACTAAGAACCCTGAGGACAAATTCAATGCTAGTCACCGAGGCCTCACGTACAAAAGCCCCTGCATACTGCTCCCCAAGTACACGAGCCTTATCTGAGTCCACATACGCACGAGTTCCATCGGCCCGCATCAAAGTTAGAATTAGTGAACTTTAACCACAGCGTCTCTTAATGTAAACGAAGAACTTCTTCTGCTTTACCGAAGCCCCCTCAGTCAAATTCCTTTCCGTACAACAGCCGAGCTTTCCTGAAGTGTTGTTTACACCTATTTAAGCCGCACGATATCTATCATAAGTGGTGGTTGATGGAGCCGCACGGTAGGTCCTCCAGCAAATAGAACTCTTCTGGAGCAGGTAGTTGCTTGTGTTATCTATCAACGACGGCCGCGCTCGTTTCTCTTTTCTCCTCACAAGCGGGATGTAGGGAGTAGACACTTCCGTGAGATAAGGTTTAACTTCATCCCAGGCCGCCTGAACCGCATGAACCACTGAGGTTTCGCAACGCAACCCAGAAGCCTTGATACGCATGACTTGATGATTAGCACGCCATACGTGTTGAAACGGGTTAGCCATGCTCTGGTGACGTCTGGTCAGAGGACACCCGAAAGATAAACAGACATGGTCACTAACACCTAAGAGAGAGCCCTAAGTGATGTCACCTACGAAGTCTAGTGACTTGGCAAACACTAGATTTATAATAGACGGGAATTGGGCACCCATGTACCTAGTGGGGAGGTCCAAGAACTGATGCAACGATAGTTTAAGCGTAAGCTCAAGTAGATCTGCACCGAAAGTACTTTCCGCCGAGTTTCAAGAAAGATCTGCCCAGCAAACTTCTGGTGAAGGCTGGTAGATGCATGCATTTCGTATTGTCTCCTCAGTACCATTAACAATAACCGATAAGCATAGATATAGCTAACAGTGGGTGCAACCAGATAAGCTTAGGGTACAAAACGGATGACGGATGTTCACACCTACGTCCAAGGCAGCTTTAGGCTGAAAAATAATTGTTGCTGAACGCACAAGGCTGGCTTAATCCGGCTTATTGCGACAGCCTCAGCAACCCGAAGGAAGCGGGGATTGGTGTGACGTAACACAACTTTAAACGCTGAGCCCAGCTCTAATTGGTGACCCGAGTCTAATAGATGTCCGCCTATCGAGGAAGCCGGCAGTCTGCGCGAACATGGAATTGTCAGATCCCATATGCTTTTCAAATTGTTGAAGGGAACTAACTGCTTTAAACTTCTGGTGGATTGAAATCCCCGAGTTTCAAACACCTGTTTGGACGCACTCCCACGGCTTCTATACTCAAGTACAAGCGTATGTTGAGCTGAGGAAGTGCTAATCACCACCGACAGAGCTTCGACAGTTTTATCTGCCGACTGAAACATGTAGATACTTGCAATGTCAAGTTCACACCTAACGTAAAGTGCAATACACCCGCCTTGTCGGCCAACCAAGCGATCACGTCTAAATAGCGCGTAACCAGACAGATGCACTTCACCGTCCTTGATGTCCCGAGACAGTGAATGCAAGTATATGGAGATAAGACCCATCTACAAGCAGGTCTATCTCGTACATCTTATTCCCTAGGTTCCGTACTTTGCTTAGCACTATCTGAATGTACTCCGAAGGTTCAGCCCCTGGTCGTGCGCTATCACTACTGGCACTGGTAGGGCGGAACCAGACCGCCAGCTGACCACCCGAAAACCCACCAACCGGAGACCTTGTTACCGGCCGCTCGCATGGCTTTGAGGTCTTTAATTTCCTCTTTTATCTTCACCCTATCCGCTAATGGGAGGTCTGGCTGAACGCTAACGTTAGCACCCTTCAATTTGAAGGCAAACCGCAACAGCGCGTTGCGTTCCTCCTATGTGGATAGGACTAAACGAAGTAAGCGCGGTCAATGGTTCGGGGCGTTAACCGGGACGTTACCCAATCTAGTCAGTTTCCTGACAGTAACACCTGGAAACTCAGGCGGAAGAAGCTTCGGTACGCACATCTTAAAACAATGTAGGTCGTCCATTGTAAGTTCGGCAGGAATTGCTGCAGTGGATTCCACTGTATTACGGAATATCACGCTGCTATGCACGAAAGAAGCACCTTGACGAGAGGTATTTACCCCACAGTTTTTGGAATATACATGAACAGCAACAGACTTAGCCGCAGGCAATGAGGCTAGGCGCAAGTTGACAGACGGCGCTGAAGCAACTGTAGCGTATGTCTTACGCTCCAGCTTGTTTGTCCCGTCATTCTTGACGCTTTTCCTACCTGCCTGAAGGGTACGAGCAGTA